TTTTAAAATTCGCCGAAATTAGTGGCTAAAGCGCCTCGTTAAGTGCGTCTTTCTAGAGGTAACTATCGTATCGTACACTCTGAGTCATCATTCGTTTCTTGCAACGATTTACACCAGTTTACACCAGTTTAAACCAGAAAATAGCACTTAACAAGGCGTTAAATATTAAAAAGTGTTGCATACTTTATATTACACGAAAAAAACTTTCAATCGTTTTTGATTATACAATGGAACAAATATTGTAAAGACGTCTTGAAGTTAAAGATCTTGGAATGTGTTATGACAATCAAATGTCGTTGGGTCCACATATTAAAAAAATTGCTCTTAGTGCAAATCGTGCATTAGGTTTTCTTATAAGACAAACATCTCAATTTACAAACTTAAAAGTAATAAAATATCTGTATTTTACTTTAGTACAAACAAAATTAGAATTTGCTTCAGTAGTTGGGTACAACAACCTCAAATACATTTAGACTCATTAGAGAAAATACAAAATAAATTTTTGCGATATCGTTAGTGTAAAAAATATCATGTCTGGCCTGATTATATCGAAATAAGAACCTCTATGCTTAGGGAAGAATTTGTAGTACCTTCACTAATTAATAGACGTAAGCAATCTATGATTTTGTTTCTTTATAAAATTATCAACAATCACATAAACTGTACGCAATTATTATTGTTAGTATCATTTAATGTTTCAAGACGTGTCAGATCCTCATTATATATATATGCTTTATTTAGTCAAAAAACAACTAATACATAGTCAATAATACACTTTCTCACTAAAAATAAATGTATACGTATAATAGGTTATTAATATAACTGTAGTCGTATAAAATAAAATACAATTAAACAACACATATAAAATATTAATAATGAATACTTCAATAACTAAATTAGCTACTTACATCTAACAAATATTGTTTTATTTTACATTTGAATTCATTAATTGATTCTATTTTCTTTAAATCTTCTGGCAAGTCATTAAATTGCTGTAAGCCTTTAAAAAAGATTGAATTTTGAGCATGACTGGTGTTGACGGTCCTAATATAAAAATTATTTCTAAGTCTTGTATTATGGGTGTGAATATGATGGTTATACGTAATTTTATGCTGGAGATAATCAGGCCCGTAACCTATTTTTATTTTATATATAAAAATTAATGTCTGGTAAAGGAACATGTCTTTAATTGAGAGCCAGTTTAAAGATATCCGCATTTCTACAATAGGGGTCAATCTAGAACATGACAATAATATTCGCATAGCTCTATTCTGCAATTTTTGGAACCGATTTCTCTCATTTTGATTTAAGAGATATAATACTGTTGAGCAGTAAGTGAAGTGAGGTAGTATAAGAGAATTAAATAGAACAAGCCTTGACCACTTAGATAAATGATTTGAACATCTGTAAAGATAATTTATTTTAAATGAAATTGTTTTTATTAAATGGTTTGCGTGCTGTTTAAATTTAAGTTGTCGATCTATAATAACTCCGAGATATTTGTATTCATTTACCATATCAATTTCGGAAGGCCCAATCATTATTTTATGATCTTGTTCTACAAAGAGTTTATATTGCTGCTCATTGCCAATTATGATGAATTTGGTTTTTTTACAATTAATATTTAATAGATTAGCACAACACCATCTATAAACAACTTCTAAGCACTTATTAATCATTGTAACAGTATCTATTATATTTAGAGAAGAATAATAAATGAACGCGTCATCTGCAAATAAGTGAAATAAACATTTAGTCTGAATGTCTGCAATGTCATTGATATAAATCAAAAAAAACAAGGGACCTAGGACACTTCCTTGTGGTACACCTCGTTTTATTTCTCTCCTCAGATACAAAGTTTTTAATTTTGACCTTTTGCCTTCTATTTGTTAAATAGTTTGAAATCCACTCCAATACTGTACTACTAAACCCTGCTCTTTCTAATTTCTTTAAGAGTCTATTCCTATCTACCGTTTCAAACGCCCTTTGAAGATCCAAAAAAACACCAACAGTAACATGTTTTTGATTAAGATTTCCTTTCAAATCATCCAGCACACATTGTACCGCAGTTTCGCATGAATGCTTACTGCGAAAACACGATTGAAATTTGGTTAAAAATTTGTTTCTTTCTATGAAATCAACAATTTGTTCATAGACTACTTTTTCTAAAATTTTTTCAAAGCAGCTAAGCATATTTATTGGTCTGAAATCAGGAGCTTTATTAGATTTTGCAACTTTAGGAACTGGTACAATGGTGGAGACCTTGATATCATTTGGGACTTTACCAGATTCTAAAGAAGTATTGATAACATTTATCAAGGGTTTAGCAATATTGTCATAGGTATTTTTTATAAATGCCATGCCTATACCATCTGGACTGTTCTTATTGGGCATTGAGAAAATAATTTTTTTAAGCGTACTAAAATCAATTAAAGTAAATTTGGAAAAGTTACTGATATTTTCCCGATTAATATTAATGGGGAAGTCTGGACCATTTTTATCAATTTTATCCATAATTTTATCAATACTCTCAATGTAGAAAGAATTCAAATTATCTGGTATATCTTCAACTCTATCTATGGTTTTCTGTTCAATTAAAATTTAATATTTCTAAAAGTCCTCTGCAATCTCCGTTAACTCATATCATAAGACTTGCTAATAAATTCAGCAATGAGCAATATAGATTGGATAATTGGTCATATCCAATTTAAAATAGTTTTATATGACCATCTAAACATTTTACTGAGGCCCTTCCTATGGGGCCTCAGTATTGCATTCGTGCAGACGAAAAACTTTTCTGACCCCCGTTTTTTAAAACTGTTTTTCATGTTTCTGAAAAAAATTCGTCTGCTCGTCTGTATGTATGTATGCCAGCACGATAACTCTAGAACGAAAGTTCTGATTGACTTGCGATTTTGATTTTCTTGAATAATTACTTCTAACTTAGAACCCTATTGATTTTCAGAATTTTCGGTTCATCCTAACTACTTTAATATCAATTTTCTTAAAATCTGCCTATGCATTCCTTGTATGACAATTTTAGGAATTTCAATTATTTCTAAAGTCAAAATTCCTAACATTCTTTACATTCCATAAATTGCAAACATTCTCTAACGACCTGTCAAACAACAGCTGTTGATAGTAAAGGAAAAATTTTTAAGGCGGGTTGCGACCTTCATACTTGGAAATCATAGCCATTTTGGAGGCTATTTTCATTCGAAATTAGTCGCCAAGCCTGCCAATTTATAAAAAAGATATAAGCAGTTTCTTAAAAAATGACTTTTTTTATGGTGGTGCTATTAAGCGTACTACTATTTCGCCCCTAGCCACAAAAACACATTCATCAAATTTACTGGTTCTCTGTCGCAACCCCATAGAATAATTAACCGGCCATTTTATTTGGCAAAAATCAGAATAATGCTTGGCTGTGCCTGTCAAGTATCAAGATGTCAACTGTGATATGTGAATGGCTCTTAAATGTCAAATTATTTAAAAATATATACGTCTTTTGATATTTATTGCAAATAATTTGTAGTGTATCTCAATTCAGGCTCTCCATAAATGACAGATAATATAATGTTCTTATACAAAGTACTTTTTTATTTTATAAAAGAGAGGTAGGATATAATGCCTATTTCAAATTTGGATCAAATATGATACCGAGATATTTTGTTGTGTTTTTCATTTTAATTATAAAGTTGTCATTTATTTGTATGTTCAAAGAAGGCCTTTGTAAGTTACATTGCTCTCTATGGATTTACTTTACCACAAAAATAGTTTTGTGGCTATAAGTTGCTATAACCTATCGTCGCAAAATTATTAATAATTTAAACATAGTAACTAGTATTAATATAACATCAAGTAATTTTTTAAAATAAAGTACATGATCTCAAAAGAAACATTCTATAATAAATGCGGATAAAACGAGGGGTAAAATAACAATAAATTAAGGAAAATACTTAAAAAGGGCAGGTTTAAAGAGTATTATCACAAGAAAGTATATCTGTTCTGTTTATTTAAAAAGTATTGTTTGAGGTTACTTTTGAATACATTTATTGTTTTTTTTTTAATTTCTGTAGGCAGTCTATTACATTTTTTAAACCTTTAATAAAAATGGCATTTTTGGAACTTTTAGTGATAGCTTGCCGTACATGAAAGTCAGATTGGCTTCTTGTATTATAGTTGTGATATTGCGAATTATATTGAATATTTTCTAATAGATCTGATGCGATGATACAGTCATTTTTATTTTATTAATAAATATCAGTCATGTACTGAACATAATTCTGAACTGAAAGCCAATTTATTTCTTTTAACATAGTTATAATACGCATCCTTCTGCCCTTTATTAATATTATATAAACAGGCGAAGTAAGGAGCCCAAATATTTTACATGAGCAGGCTTAAGAGGTAAAGGGGCCAATTATTATTGGATAAATTGCTCAAACAAGTTTGTAAACCCTAATCAAAAGGCGATATAGAATGGTTTTAAAAATCAAGGCTTATGGAAATCATCACATGGTTTAACTTAATTAATGCCAATGCTTCACAAACCAAAAAATTCAACGTCCTAATACTACTATCAGCTTTCGGTCTTTCGTTCCAAGTTAAATCATTTCTCGTCTTTGTTACGCTACGTCTTTAGCCTTGTAGCCCTCAGTCTCGATAAGGTGGGAACCACCATTTTAAAATAGTAGTTGGCAGATTTTGCGTGTTTCATTTATTACTGAAAATCATCAATTCTTTCAAATGAATAAAACGTAGAAAACGACAGCGATATGATTCTAATTATGTAGAATTTCTCACTAACTTGTGTATAATGCAAATATTCTCAGAATCTTTTATATTTGAAATGAAAAACCACTTCAAACGTAATTCAATCTCAGACGTTATAAAAATATCTCATTAATGTTTTTTCTTTTTTAATATAAAAAGACTTTGGTTGAAATTAATTAGAAGTAGGTCTCAGACCTTAAATAACATTGAAATGTATCTTTCAGACATGGCTTCTAACATCTTTTCAATCTATCAAACTGAAAATTGGATTAAAAGGAGCTGCAGGCAGTGCTGGCGAACTACAAAATATGTTATCTGCTGACCCATCGCACAGATTGAGCAACGGCGACGACAAACCTGCTGATGGATTGTGTCACATTTCCCAGAGTCCATTCCGAATTCTAAAGGTAAGTGATTAGGATTACCAGGTAAAATGGAAACTGCGAAATGATCTGTTTAGAAACCATGTAATAGTGGAGGATTCGTTACACTGCTAAAATGGCTTCAGTTGAATAGTTAATTAAAAATTATCGTTTAAAAAATTACCTAGGTATATCTAGGGGAGGCCGGGGCATTTTGGGATAGTACATCAGTTGCAAATGCAACATTATATTGTTAAAAACCTATTTTATCAAGTAAGATTACTTACTTGGCATGTTGTCAATCATTTGCCATGACAGTTTTATTATTAAATCCTTACATATTTGAAAAATATAATAGTTTCGTTAAAAGTCGTTTGCCCCGCTACACAGTGGGCAATATCACACAATTCGTGTCCAAAAATTAGAAAATGAAATTACTTTATATTCCAAAATTTTCATTATTTATTTAGTCTCTGATAATCAGCCCACCTATTGAAATTCAAAATAATGTGACCAGTTTACTATTATCCAAGATAAAGTCCGTTAAATTCGGATACGTATAACTTGTCAGTATTTGTATACTATTTTAGTTGCGAATCTGCCGTGTATTTGAAACAATCTCTCTCGAAGTGTGAGTGGCGCCTGCAAGTTTTCTTTGGTGAATGTGCAACTTGCAACTTTGTGGTAAGTACTCAATATAGTATATTACATTACGAGTGTGGAAAGTGACATTTTTGACACGAGTGGGAAATATTGTCGCACGAGGCGCAAACCGAGTGCGACTATCACACGAGTGTGGAAAATCACTTTTCACACAAGTGATGTACAATATTTTTCCTACGACCACAAAATAAGGTCATCAAAAAAATGTAAAATCAAGGTTATTATTACTATAATAATTCAAATTTATTTAAAAAAATATTCAACAATAATCGTATTTATTCAGTTTTCATATTTTCTAAACAAAAAAAAACTAAAAAAAATAAAAAAAAAACAAAAAAAAATTCTGCCCCGCCAGGATTTGAACGCGGTCGAAAAATGGCAAAGTTGATAAGTTCGACGTCCTAACCACCTGAGCTAATAGCCCTTGTGTCAATTGAATGATCTAATCGGTTATGTATTTAACCAGAATAAAGAGCAAACATCTAGGATCTAATTTACAACAATTTCAATAATTTAACAATCATATCGATTTTAGTAATAATATGGACATTACATAGATCAAAATAGAAATTAGGTGTTTGACATTTTGCGAAAACTACTGCGGAAAGTAACATATTCTCACTCGGGTGGAAAGTAAATTCTTTTTCATACGCGTGTGATATAGGGCACTTTCCTAAGTGGTCGTAGGAAAAAATATTTTTTTTCAGTTTGCTACCTCTGTTTTTGCTGAGTGGGTAGCTTGAGTATTAGACTATGGAAGGGTTCTTGGATTCTCCTAACTTAAGTTGGTGTACTAAAGGTCGGGCCAGAATTTAAGTTTTCCAATACCTAAATATAAATAAAACTATAATAACTGTGCAAATCAATCAAATTTATTTTAACCTTTTTTTTTTAAAGACAGACTTCAGCAAAGAAACTTAAGAGACATGAAAGTAATCACAAAGATAGATCCGATTAGTTCTTGTTATAGATAATAATTACAAAAATATATACATTTTTACATTAGTCGAGTAGTCGAATACGTAGAATACAATAAGTCGTATACAAAGGATCATGCAGCAGCTTACAAATAAAATATTATAACGTTATAACATCGAAGACTTCTATATGTTCTATAAGTTGCAACTTATTAAATCATAAAAAAAATTATCAAGCCTAGACATGGACATTGATAAAGTTACATCAAATTTAAATAAATTTCAACTAAAACGAATCTTGTATGTAAAATTTGATAAAATAATTTAGTATTAAAGTTACTGAAAATAACCAAATGTAATTCGTTGGAGCCAAAACAAAAACCTATGAGTCTATGCTCAAGACCACATTAAAATTATATAAATAAAAAAAAATACTTAGCTTAAACCGTAGATAAACAATCCACGGAGCATTCGAAGATTCGAGACTCTGCTTTTATTAAGTATTGATACTAGGTGGACATCAAAATGGTGAAGATGGTGGCTCTATGTTAAAGATTTAAACCGCAAACTACATAGACTCATTGTACACCTCTCGACAAACTAAACTCTTAGACTGAACGACATCCAATCCAAATCAAAGAAAATCCCATCAAAAGGACATCAAATGTGCATGGTTCAACATCACATATATGATCAAATTCCATAAAATATTCTCCATTATCATTAACATGGTAAACATCAAAAAATAAATCGTTACCCAAATCATTGTACAGATCGTACATATCGTAAATAACTTTGTAACAATCGCTATCCAAATCGTTAATACACGCTATACAAAAACGCTCCGGCCAGCTTTCCAACTGCGTCATTAGCCAAACCCAACACTAAGGGCGGTTTTTATTACTATGCAATACCAAAAAATTCTACAAATGCATAAAATTATAACTACAAACACACACACAGGCTTTATTAATCACCTTTTACGTTGGCTGTTAAACTTGGAAAGAAAGAAAAATGCGTAATTTCTCATTTCTCCAACCAAACATTCGATATCTACAATTCGAATCGTTTCGAATCGGACCACGGTACAAATCGATAATCGATTTACATTCCGATACATTAATAAATAACCACAACGAGTTATTTACAACAATTAATATTGTTATCTGCTGGATCAACTAAATCCTAATACAGATGAACTAATTATTAACCTTTTATAAGACATTTACTAATTATAATACAAAATGTACATCCTTAAAATAACAATAATATCGAACGCTACCCCATAATCGATTTATAAAATACAGAGTTACTAATCATCGACAAAACGTATCCATCGTTACAGTCGTGGTCTGTCAAAACAGCTGATATTTGAATCAAACGAGAAATTAATCTACACTCAGAAAACAAAAGTAATAAGATGAAATTTTGAAAATATGTCAAATAAATATTATTTATTTCAGAGAAATGAAAATAAACGAAATTGTTTAATAAAGTGATGTAATTATTAAAATTGCAAAATCTGATCGTAACAAGTTTTTCTGAAAAACCTGACTTAGTAAAAAAAAATGGTAATTTTGCTATATGCGAAATATTGCATTTATCTTTGTTTTTAATACTATGTTGGGTCTTTTAGTACCTAAATCCGCACGACCCAGTAATGATTTTTGTATTATCGTATTGTTAGGCGTATTTTCTGGTATTTACGAAAAAATTAGCTGCAAAGGTCTGCGAACTCATTCTTACCAATTGTTTTTTTAGATACGATGACGATAACGCGTTTTTCAACAATTGCGAGTACCCTCGTAGATTAAAATATTCCTATATTTACCGAAATTAGAATGGGCATTTTGTAGAGTCGATTTCGTACCGACTATCTACCTTTTAGTTGTCAAGGTACAAGAAGGACATTTTTTATATTTCTAAATTGTAAACAGTTGCTATTCCTCACTCGAGCTTACTGGTCTTCCATCTTGCTTTACCGAAAAGCATAAATTGAATGACATCTGGGAATTACGCCCTCTTCTTGCTTGCCGGCCGCCGTAAGCTTTTCCTCTTGAATGCTCCGTGAAGTGCCGTAATTTCGGAAAAGTTCACTGATTAACCTTGTTTATCTGCTAAGGTAGGAACCATATATAATTTTTTTCTATATTGGCTTTTGTATAATTAGTTGGGACACCCGTGCGACAAGTGAAAAATTTTGATTCATATCCAAGATATAATAGTTCATCCCTCAGTGGGAAACCGTTGGAAATTTTTTATATGAGGCTGGACATAGGCTTTACTCCGAGTGCTCTCTTTGTCAACAACTATATTCAATTTCTTTTAAAAACCGCCCAGTTAACATCGAAGTGAGAGGTTTGACCTGTTTTCAATTTTTTTTCTATTATTTTATTGTTTTATTTTCTTTTTTTTTCGGAGGTTCGATCCGTTCCCGGATTAGAGTGCTCTCTCTTCTGATGACGTATCCAATTTCCCAAAAGACGTTTAAATTATATAGGGATCCGTCAATATTTAAATAGTTTTCAGTTATAATAATTTAATTGTATTAGATATTCCGAATACAGGGAGCCATGCCTATTTAATTACCGTTGTATTTATTTCTTTGTAAATATATATTTTATTACCTATTCCTGTGTTTCTCTTAACCGTTCTCTTTCAGGGTACCGTAGGGTACGAGGTGTAAAGGAGATAAGTGTTTTATTTTTATTTATTCTAGTATACCTGGCAGTGACGTGATGTATGCCAGTTCCCCTACAGCTAAATGTGGATAGAAACATCGTATGGCAAAATCCACGCCCATCACCAACCAGGTTTTGTCGACCGATTAAACTGTTGTTCGACAAAGAGAGTACACCACTAATAAAAAAGGAAATTGAGAGTGTCAAAGAATAGATAGAAAATATAGTTCCAACAAGAATAGAGGAGTTTAATATTAACATCAACCACAAATTATGTTTGACAATGATTGACGGTAAGACATTCAGTGCAATTTTTGAATCATCGTCAGAGTCATGTGGGATCTGTGAAGCTACGTCAAAAATAATGAATGATGTTAAGAAGCTAAGTAATTTGAAACCAAATAAAAGTTTATATGAATACGGGCTTTCGACCCTGCGGCCCTGAATTAGATGCTTCGAGTGCATATTACATATTTCATATAGACTTGACTGCAAAAAGTGGCAAATTCGCAGCACGGAAGACAAGCTGATCATGGAAGAAAGGAACAAGAAAATTATAGACGATATAAAACAAAAGCTAATTCTTCTTGTAGATATACCAAAATCAGGTTATAGAATTACCAACGATGGAAACACAGCCAGACGGTTTTTCCAAAACCCAGGTCAAGCATCATCTATCACAGGTGTTAAATAAGGAGCTAATTTATCGATTTGGTATTATTTTAAAGACAATAGCTTGTAAGTACGCAGTCAACGTTAAAGCTTTTGAGAAATATGCGCACAA